GTCGAACGAATGATTTTTCGTCGATCAAAATTATTTGCTGTTGATAGGATATAAAGAATTAAAAAATCATTTGTTTGACATATTGCTGTGTTTGATGTCAAGTTCAATCGAACATTCAGATAATCATTTGAAGAAGTGTTGTGCAGTATATTTTCTTGTAGTTTAACGAAAAATTGTGTTGAATATTGCGGATCATAAAATTTTATATAAATACTTGTAAAAATTAATATAAGAATTAAAACAATGCAGATATTAGAAAAACGACATTTTCGACGAGTTCCCATTCAAAAGTATTGAACTAAATATATGAACTTTAGAGGATTATTTTCATCAGTTCTATTTACAAAAAAAAAACTTATCGTACTATTCTTATTAACTGAGTAAACGTTTTTTCTTTTACACGGACGTATCGATGTCGTCAAGCATTGTGTCTCATTTCAGTTAAAGCAAAACAATAAGTTAGTTTTTTTTGTTTAGAAAGATACCTTTAAAAATTCTTTTGGTGACAACAACCAATGAAAGAATACAGCATACCAATTATTTCTTTTTTTCTTACTCTTCCAAATAATTAAACACTCCTTAAAACAGAGTAAAAACTAAAAAAAAGAAGGAAAAAAAATAGAAGAAAAGAAAAATGTGTATTGCATTATATACCGCTCATTTCTCATTTGTTTCTCAAGTTTAATGAAACAGATTTCCTTCTGATCCACATTCTTCTATTTCATGGTTAAAATAAGGACAAATCACGGGCATCTGTTTTTTTTACTTTATATTTGCATAACTAGCTATATTTAAAAATGCGAGACTTCATTCTTTCTTTGTTTTTTCTACCGATGGATCAATACTATTCTTTTTCTTTTTGCACAAGTTTTATAGTGTGTATACGGAGGTATGGATAATTCTTAACTATTTAAAACAACTAACATATACATGGAGAGGAAAAAAACTAAAAAAAACGTGAGTTAAATATTTAGATGCAAGAGAAGTTTTAATGGTTTTTAACCAATACTTACAGACGAATAAAAATTTATTTTTATATGTAGAATATTGCATTATTTATTATATTTATGAACAAGAACTAGACAACATTGCTGTCATCGTTTGACTTATTTATTCGATTCTATTTGCATTTGATGTTAATAACGTAATATTAGACAAATTTACGATTACTGTGTTTATCAAGATAAAATAGTAAATAATAAAAGGACTATATTCCTGAAATAGATATATTTTAGTTTAGTAAACGGAAAAGTATTCATCCATATCGTTAAATTTCTAGGAGACCTTATAGTAATTAAATATTGAGTGTTCTTCAGTGTTATGAAAGAACGTCTCGTTTCCTTCCTTTTTCTTCCATTTCTATGTTAGTTGATTAAAATTTTTCTTTTTGTTAATATTTGTTCTTTAATTCATCATACTAAGATATACTTGTTGAATAAATATACCTTTTAATAAAATTAAAAGATCTATTTTGTAGTAGTGTAGCCTCATACTAGAACATTGTTATATGAGTATTACATTGCTTGAAAAGAAAGGTATATGTCACTTTAATCTGATAAACAATGACGCTGTTCTTAATGTCAGCAATGTATATAAAATGCGATACAAATCAGAGCATTTAGATAGACATTTGCATATGTTCCTCCTTTTTTTGTTCACAAAAAGACAATTTTGATTTTTTTACATTCCAAGATAATTAAAACGAAAAGTTAGGCACGACTTTTCACCAACAAATGTTTTACTGCTGATGATCGATGATGAATTATCAGTATTTTTTCAACATCTGTTAGTTTAAATTCTGGATTTAGATAACCTCATGTATTGAATTAATGCCACCTATATTTAGACAATAAATCAATTTGACTCAATTCTAGGATAATCGTGAACGTTGAAAATTTTGTAAAAGCCTTAAAATCATGAAATAAATAGACTAAAAAGTTGTTCGTAGATTTCATGATTATTTATTTCTCAACTGAGATATCTTAATTCATCTTAAAAATCGAGTGTTAGTTTTAACTTACATGTATCACATGTCAGTTAATATATATTCTAAAAGAAATTAGATTTTAATAATCAAATATTTTTTATCTCAAATTTCTTTGAACAATTTCTATTCAGTTTTGAAATATCTATATAATATTACTTTAAGTTATTTTGTATCATTGATATACTATAATTACCTTTTCGACGTCATCGTTAATATTTCCCAAGGCTTTCGTATCTATCCAGGTGAATGAATTCAAGCGAATGTCTGCATCAGACTTTTATTGATCTTATAGAAATTTTTAATATAAAACATAATACTATGGAGGCTGTTCTTTTCATATGTGTTAACCTTCAAAATATACTCTTTTACTATACAACATAAACTGAAATTTGAAATCTATGAATAATAAGTATTTCTAGCAAGTAAATATGTTTTATTATATTCATATTTCGTTGTACGTTAATCAGCAGCTTGCTGTTATACTTAGATTTAAAATATAAATATTTGAATTCGTCGCAAAATCGATATAAGAGAAGAAATTTGATACGATCTGGCTGTTCTAATAAATCTCAAATCGTTTAAAAATTTATTTTTTTTTTATTTTCGTATATCAACAAAAACAACAACGGCAATAATATTAATTGGATCGAATCGAATGATCATTAATATTTTGATAATGATGATAGTATGCCGTTGAGCAAATGCCGAGTGTTTGTTTATGCTAAAAGAAAAAAATAATAATATTTCTATATGAAAATTTTTACAATATACTTTTAGCAACAGGAATATTAGCTGGTTGTGGTGCTTCTTTATTTCCACCACGATGACCACCTGGGCCAGTATTTCCTTGTCCAGCTCCACCAGCTGCACCTGGTTGACGATTTTGTTGTGGTCGTCTAAAAATTCAAATACATATATCAATGAATCTTTTAAATTTAAGAATTTCTTACAAGAGTGGTGTACGAATTCGTCGTGCTTCTCTCGATCGATTACGAACAACCTTGCTATGAATAGCGCATGAAACACAGTAATGTAGTTTATAGTAAAGTTTTGGTAGAATATATTTAGTATAAACACTAGCTTCACTTAAATCTTTAACAGCAGCTTGTTCAACAATATTTCGAATGATCAATTTCTTAATGGCCTTATCTTTTGGTACTAATCGGCGACAGTTGGTACAATTAACTGAACGAACACGGCCACGTCCATGTTTACTACGACCATTATTACGACGTTTCTTTGTCATTATATGATGTTAGTAGAATAGAATCTGAAGAATTAAAAAATAAAATTCAGAAAAGAATTTGAAAGACATTAATTAATTGCATTGAATTAAAAAAATATATGAAACGAAAAAATTAAAACGAAATATTTTTCGTCTTTAGACATATGAATATGGGCCATGTTTAGATTTAATTAACCACATACTGTCAATTACTTTTCCACCCTAAATACATATAGAAAAACTTGATTTTTAGACTCGATAAAAAAAACTATTAAATTAACCTGATCATCTGATACTTGTTCTAAATATAAATGCGAAGAATTATATACATTCATACGTGTATAACCATAATCACTATTTTGGAATGCTGTCCATGGACGTGGAACACCAAATGGATCATGTCGTTCATTACATCCCTAATACAAAAAAATTATTTTTATTCAAAATAAAATTTTATCTATTGTCCTACAGCTGATCCTGTAACAATATGTACTGGAGCATCTGGGTCAATATAAGCACCTTTTGTACCATTATAAACCTGTGTCGAAAAAAAAATAACTTACAAGTTAAATCATATATATCGATTTTGATTACATACAGTCATATTATAAACTGGCCATAAACGTTCATAACTATGTTCATGTGCCCAAAATTCTAAATCTACACCATATTGAGCAAATAATTGTTCGAAACCAAATGCTTGAATAAATGGGAGACCAACACGAATCTATTGAAAAAAACAAAACAGATAGTTTATTATTCATATTTTGATATTATTCAGATGAAATAGCTTAGATTAAAAGGGACGATACTGAAAGTACTGATATGCCTATTCAAAACTATGATATTGCTAAATATATCTATTCACTTAATGAAGTTTTTCTCTAACGATTTATATGCTATATCTTAAATTAAGTTGGTATATGTATAGAATTAAACATACGAAAATGTATCCATTAGCAAAAAGACATTCATCATCATTATTATTACTGCAATACATTGGCTTATGAGCCATTGTAATAATCCATGGTTGTTTTGCTCGATTTTCGGGTTTATTCGCTTCCTAAATAAATAAATAACTACAAATTATTATAAATCCTATTTAATTTTACTTTTAAATCTTGTTCAATCCAATGATATTGATTAATAATTTGTTCAAAACCATATTGAAGATAATAATAAAATTCCGTTGAAAAACTAATTACATGTACTGGACCCACATTAAAACTAATTTAAAAATAGATGTTATTTTATCATCAATATCATACAATATTTTACCTATAAAAATGATTTGCATCGCCTCCATACGTATTATATGATGATGGCATACTAAATTTTGCGACATATTGAGAAAAATTACTAAATTCAAATAAAATTTAACTGAAATAAAATAAATAAATAAATAGATTATTTACTAAGCATTTTCATGATTTCCTGGACAAGTCATATATGGAATGTAAGCAGCAATTGATTCGATTGAATTCATATACTGATCACCATAACGAGCATTATCACTATTCATATCATATGCCATATCACCTAGATTAAAATTATTAGACGAAAACAAAAACAATTAAATTATCTTACCAACATGTAAAATAAGATCAAAATGACCTAATTGAGTTTCTTCTTGAAGACGTGCCATAGATTGTGCATTATCTTTTCCCATATCACCATAAACAGCCATACGTACAACAAAATCTGAATCGTTACGCATTGCTGTAAACCAAAATAATGGTGACCAACCATAATCATCACAACCACAATGGTAAACTTTAAAATGAAAATAAAATATTGAAAGTAAAATATAGATTTTTATTTCATACAATATTTTTGACCAGGTATTAGATTATGAAGTACTACACGATGAATATATTCACGTCGTTGTTCAGAACCACTATCTTGAAAAATACTAACATTGCCCGTACTTCGTTTATCCAACATATCAAGTTGACCATATTCAACTACAGAATCATTTACTTCATTTAATGTTACCCATGTAACAATCATAAGTGATGGATCGTCTAAATTAATTTAGAAAAAAAAAAGAATAAGTAAATTATCGAATTGTTTAGATAGTCAACCTACGTCCATATGATAGATGAATTTGTTCGGGTTGACCAAAAAATGGTTCGTTATCTTTGATGGATTTCGATGAAACAATGTGTAAAACAATTAAGAATAGAACACTGTTCAAAAGAACCATGATCTATTCGAATTTCTTGTTTTCCAAAATATTAGTGACCAACCAACAAAAAAAAAACAAACAGTTGGATAATAAGAAAGGTAAAAGTGTGACTCTATTATCGCTTTGATATAAATCATTTCAATAAAAATTATTATTTTTTTCAATATAAATTAAACTTTTTTACATGTTTAAAATAAATTTTAATCTTTAGATTTACGAAATTTTACCGAGCGTCATCTATGATAATATATTGGAGTATAACGCCATCTACTCCAGTTTTTGATTCTAATTCAAAATACTGTGTATATTTCATCATCCATCAATATTAAAAATGCAAACATACGAAGTTTATTTTAAATCGAAAACTTTGACTTGCATGATCTATTGAAGATTAATTACAATCATTTCTATTTTTCTTTATTTGAATGTTTACCGTGTGATTTAATATTATTACTGACTAGTAAATAAATTGAAATATTTCTTTCAAGTTTCATTCATATCCTGAGATGGACATAAAAAAGCATCCGAAATAAATTTTATTTAAATTTTTTTGTCAAATATTTATTATAATACAAAATGAAATCGAGTCATTTTATCATCAATTTATATAATAAATTAGATTAATAATTTTATGTGACATCATTTGTATATTTTTTTCTAACTTGACAGATGTTTTTATTGCATAAATGTTCTTAACTTTCATTTCTTTATAGAAAGTGCAAAATTTTGATTTCAAATTGAAGTGAATGTAATATATAGATCTCTCACAATAGAACGTTTCATTAGTAAAGCAATCATCATTTTTGATTTGGTAAAATACCTTTAATAATCCTCTAGTATATATAACATATTTCTATTCGTTGAAAAGCCTTAAAGGTCAGAGATTCTTTTCGTTCTAAATGTGTCTATGTTTGTTAGATTAAAATTAAAAGGTATTCCCTCTAAACATCTTTTTGATGTCATACTTACAGATGTCACCGATACACAATGAAAAACTATTTTGTATTTATACTAATAATCAAGGCACTTTTTAAATAATTAAATTCGTTTTTGCCAATTTCATTTTAAGCTGTTCTTTATCTGTATTACTATCGTATAGTCTTCTAACCATAGTTCTCAAAATACATTGAATTTTTAATAAACTATATAGGTTCTATTATTTAAATTTTTTCTGTAGTCTATTTCCTAAAATCTCATTTTTGAATAGCTATTTCCGCCTTTTATAGCAATTGTCATATTCTTTCTTCTCTTCTCTTCTCCTTCTCTATATTATACATTCAGATTGTTGATTCTCATGGAATCATTCTTTTCTTTTTTATTTTCCTAGTCAGAAAGACATAAGTTTAGAGCGACATTTTGTCAAGATTTGCTTAGTTCTTTGAACTACATGCGTATGACACTTTTTTAATTGGATGAGGAAAATATGACAATCATCTTCTTTATTTTTTTTAGATTTATTTCCTCATGATTAAAAAGACATGACAGATTCCACTAACATATTGAATATTGATTCAAGAGAATCTAGTCAAGATGAACAACTTGAAGATTACTATACTACTGAACAAATAAAACAAGCTAATGCGAGTAAGTTAAAAAGCAAAAATAAAAATTTATTGATGTCAATATTTATCTATAGGTGTTAATCAAGATTATTCTAAACATTATGTTCGTATAACAATAAAAATTCCACAAATGAGAACTGGTCTTAATTGGCGTAGTTTTACTCGTGAAGCAAAAAATGGTTTGACAACTAAAGCAACATATCATGGAACGTATGTTTCTTCTGTTTATCTTTGTTTTCTCTTATTATTTTTAATATTTAGTCGAGTTTATTTTGAATTTATTATTGATCAAGATAAACCAACAGAAACAAAATATGAATACACATCACGTGAGCCACTTCGTGGTCCAATTGAATATAAAAAAA